AAACTAGCATAATTATTTATAAGATAAAGAAGTAGCTCTCAAGAGTGCAATGCTTTACTTAATATCATAGTGTTTGTTATAATGATAACTGATTTTATACAAGAAAATGAAATTTATTAAATTTAAAAAATTTCTTTTTTCATTTATAATTACTAATTTGATTATTATATTTATCAATGCTTATATTCTTATGTAATAATGATCAAGCCATATTATTGAATAATGTCACTGTTATTTTGGGCCCTTATATGTAATGTTTTGTAAAAATTAGGTTCTTTTATGTAATTATTTTTAATTAGATCTATATTTGTAATTATTTTCACTTTCCGGACCCTTATTTGTAAATTCCTCTAAAATAAACCAAAGTAAAATAACTTTATTATTAATATAACATCTCTTCTATGAACTATTACTAAAAAGAATTTAAAAAGATAAAAGTTTAAAGTATACAGTTGAGCAACAAGTTCAAAGAGATATGCAATGCAATATTACAAAATATTATTAAGCTACAATTGCATATGCAGATGATATAACATAAATTGCAAACAATAAAGAGCAATTGTTAAAGATCTTAGAAATAGCTAAAGAGTTTATTGAAATAAATAATATATAGATAAATAGATCAAAGTCTAAACTAATAATAATGTTTACAAAACTTAAAAAAAAGAAAGAGCAATAATATATGAAAAGAATAAGATAATAGAAAAACTATGATATAAAATAGTTCACTTATTAGGAGTATGGTTAAACAATATAATGCAAGAAATATAAATAAAAAAGAAGCCAAACAAATAATAAGCCAAATTATAAGAAATCTAAAGTACAAAAATGACATTGAGCCAGATTGATATATAAACAATATAGTAATAATATTTAAACTAAGCTATATGTTATAGCTAATAAAGTTGTTAGACAAAAGTTTAAATAAAATACATTAACTAATAATAAGTCTGACAAAACAAAAGAGCAATCTGCAATAAATAGTAGAAAACTGCATAATAAAACACAAATATCTTAATAGCTGTAGAACATTATGACAAGAGTTAACTATAAAACAAGTAAGTGATCTTTTAGCAAGACTAAACAGACAAGACAGTCTTGGACAGCTAACAAAACTAAGAATAATACAAGGATGTTAAGGAGCAGATTTAGCAGAAAACATATAAAAGACAAAGAAAAAACCAAAAAGCAAAATATATTTGAAGAATAACTTAGCATGTCTTACAATACTCAATACAAAAAAAACTAAAAATAAATATAATAATGAAAAGTAAACTATGGACAATGTTTAAGTATGCTACTAAAATACAAAAATTTATAAATACACAATTGTAGAAAAAGGAGCAGTTAGAGTAAATAAAGCAGATCTAATATATCTAAACTAACTGCTCAATATAAGGAGAAAAAAGCTAATCATACAATAGCAACCAAAAAACTATCAAGACCAATTGAGTAAAAGAAAAAAAGCAGAATGGTTCAAAGCAATTAAATCAAATGCTTAGTAGCTCAGAGAGTAGAGTAGTACAAAAATATTTTAGAACAAGTAAACAAAATACTTAGCCAATGCAAGTTAAATAGAAACATATATTAAAAGATAGAAAAAGAAAAAAATAGGTAGTATATGGTATATTAAATTACAGAAAACTTAAAAAGGTGGTTAAAAAAAAAAAGAAAAAATTATTAATTAAACACTGTCAAATGCAGAGCAAAAAGAATAAATTAGCAAATGAGACCAATAGATGTAAAGAGTATATAAGAAAAAAAAACAGATAAAGAACAATTACTAGCAATAAATAAGATTAAATAAAAATATTAACATGTTTTCAGATGCATTAATAAGACAGGATAGCAATCAAATTAAGGTAGCAATTAACCAAATAACAAACAAGACAGAAATAGATAGACCAGAAATGAAAGAATATAAGTTTAAAAGTCTTATAATAACAGAAAAGCTAGAGATAAAGATTATTAAACAACAGAAACTAGAAGAAAATATTAGTAAACAAATAATAGAAGTTTTAAAAAAAAATATTATAAGAAACAAAAACAAATATACAATATACACAAATGAGTAAGCTAATGTGAAAGATAGTAAAAAGCTAGCATTTAAAAATAATATAGATATAAGATAAATTCAAACAAACAAAATACAAAAATAGTCAAAAGAAGAGATAGTACTTGAACTAAAAAGATGGCAAACATTAATGGTAGTAGAGTTGGCAGCAAATTTGAGCAGCAATTTTAATGATACCAAGAGAGAAACAAATAGAGATATATATAGATAGTAATCTGCAATAAGAAATATTAGTAGAAACTTGAAACAAGCAAACAGAAATAAGATTATTAAAAAGAAGAATGCAATATGAATAATGAAACCTTGTCAAGATGAAAAATATTCAGATAGATTTAGTTAAAGTAAAAAGTCATAGCAAAGATAAATAGAATGATAAAACTGATAGTTTAGTGAATAAAAAAACAATAAGCAAAAAAATAATATAGATCAAAAAACTCAATTGTAAGAAGATAGAGTACTGCTTAAAGTGAAAAAACAGATAAACTGACATATCAGCAAGACTGCTTTGCAAGTTAGTAACAAATGCAAGACTAGAAGCAGAGTAAAAAAAAATAAGAGCAGTTAAAGATTTAGAGTTAGAAGCAGAAATTACAATTTATGATTGAATAAAGATAACTAAAGAAATACACTATATAATAAAAAGAAGCAGCTCTAGAAGAAGTGCATTTATTAAATACAGAATAGATAAACTTTTAATCTTGAAAGAACTTAATAGAAGAAGCCAAGAGATATATATGATAACAGAATACCAAGTATGCCAAAATAAAGTAAAAGAAACACAAGCATACTTGGTAGCATATAAAGAGCAAAGAAATCTTTAAAAGAGAATTTAAAAAGTAACCATCACAATAATATGAAAGAGACTAAAAGAAGAAGAAAAAATTCAGATTTCTTTATATATATTATATATAATACTTTCCAGAAAAATAGAGATAAAGAAAGTAAAAATAAGAAAAATATTAATTAAGAGTCTAATTCTAAAAAAAATGCAAGACAGATTAATATAGCTCTTAAACACAAAATCAAAATAACAGTTTGTGAATACAGTAGCAATAATGGTTTAAAACATATTTTATAAACAAGTATAGAGAATTCAATATAAAAAAATTAGCAAATAAGAGATAAAAATTAGAATAATAGTTAAAGTTAAAAGAAGAAGAAAAGAAAAGCTGAAGAAACTAAGAAAAAAAGAAAAGGTAAATTAGTAAAGAATAGAAGAAAAAAAAAAAAAAGTAAGAGAAAAAGAAAAGCAAATTGAAAAAAGAAATAATAAAAACAATGTTAAAGCTTGTTATAAAAAGGAGAAAACCTTTTTATTATGGATTTTAAATAGTCAGCTTACTTCTATTTGAAGTAATGTAGCAGATTGTACTTAGGTATTATTAAGGTGGCTGGATGATGCTAGATTTAGTTATTAGAGATATTTATATAGTTACAAATGTAATTTCAAATCTTAATAAAGTACTAGTATGATGTAAAAAACTATAACTCTTTCTGCAGATCAATTGTACCAAATTTTTGCTAAAAACATTCAACTATTTCTAATTATTTTATTAAATTAAGCTTACTTTTGCTCTTAACTAAACTTGTTCAGAACACTTTTCTGCTTCTAGGCAGCAAAGTTTTAAGCTCTAACAATATCTGATTGCTGAGAAAAGTTACAAAAACTAAAATTTTAGTTTTTGCTTATTTTCTTGAAATTTTATTAACTAAATACACTTTTTACTTTAGTAATACTTTGTTCAGTTTACTAAAACAAACATTTTGATATATATTTTATTAATAACAGATTAAAACTTATTGAAATATTAACAAAAAGACAAAACTAAAATCTGTTTTTGCAAGATTTTTCAAAGACATTTTAGGAAAGCTTGTTGAGATGCCTCAGAAATTTCACTTTTCTAGTACCTATTAAAATTTTCTAAACATTCAATTACCTTTCCTAATAGTTTTACATTTTTCTGATTTTTCCTAAACAGTCTAGAAACTTCTAAATTTAAAAAATTTTTTTAGAAAACTTAGTTCTATAAATATTTTATCAAATTTTAATACTATACAATTATCTAGCATATATAGTTACACAAGAGACCTACCTTAGTAACAACTATATCTAATTCTATTAACCTTGACTACTTCTATTAAAAATGTCCTAAAAGTTTTAGTATTGGAATTCATAAAAATAACATAAATATATTACATTCTATTCCTTTTAACAAACAACTTAGCAGCTATATAACAACTGAACTTAAAAGTGCTATTAAAACTAGTCATTTTTTAAGGCACTAAAAAAAGTTCTATTGTTAGTTGTTTTTGTAAAAAATTCTATATACACTTCATTTTAGCAACCAACCAAACATATAATAAAAACAAAGTAATTAACATAATCAAAAAAACTAAAGATAAAAAATCTTTAGTACACAATATTATGAATTTTACTGAATTTATTCCACCATTACCTAGCTTATCACCCTCACCTATTACATATCAGCATACATGTACTATATGCAACTTACCTATTAATTGTAAAGTAACCAACAACCAACACTACTTAGCAGCTAATTCTATCTTATTTAATAGCAAATCTCATTATAAATCATGTACTTAAACTTAATTTAATGAACAACAAAGCACTTTTACATCTTAACAAAGCACTTCTACATCTCAACAAAGTCTACACACTACTCTTATTCAAAAAATTCAATTATTATTTTCTGAATATAGAAACCCACTATCATTTCAACTTACTGTAAAGTTCTGAATATAAGCAACCCCCAAAAATAAGCAATACCCTGCATTTCGAGATCAAAATGCTAAAAAAATAAAATAAGCAACCCCTTTTTTAAAAATTACTAAATATGTATACTGTATATAAAATTTATTATAAATTTTATTAATTTCAATTCAAATTTTTTACAAAAAAATTAATTTAATCTTCTAGTTCTTCAGCAGATAAACTATCTTCTTCAACTACCTCAAACAAATCTTCATTATCATCGATTTTACTATTCTCTTGATCTGAATTATATAATAAATCATCTTCTGTCCCATCTAATTCATTAGAAATATCACATTTTTTAAATGATTTAATAATCATCTCTGCAGAAATATCATCTCACGCTTCTAAAATCCATTGGCAAATTAAACTATATGATGGTCATTTTAAATTTCCTTTCTTAGTTAACTGAAATTCGCCATTACTCATTCACAAATGCTATTTTTTCTTTAATCGGTCTTTAAATGGTTTATTAATACTCACATCCAAAGGTTGTACGATTGATGTTAAACCTCCCAGAATAATAGCTTTATGAATATTATTAACTGCACATTTATTTTTTACAATATCAGTAAGATGTCCTTCGAATGAATCCATTATAAGCAAAGACAAAGGTTTGTTTACAATTGATGCTTCAGGTCGCTTGTTCCAAACTTGGTCAATCCATTCGCTCATCAAATTTTTGTCCATCCAAGCACTTTTATGCATACATACAACAATGCCACAAGGCAGATTAGAGGGAATTCGTATATCTTTAAAAATTACTATGGGAGGGAGTTTGTTACTATTTGCCGTAATTGCCAAAACACAAGTAAACCAGTTTTTTTCATTTTCAGTTGTTCTAATTTGAACTGTTTTAGCACCTTTATTATTAATTGTATAAGAACTTGTCATGTCAAAATAAACAGATGTTTCATCCATGTTTACGATTTGAGAAAGATCATACTGATATTTTAATCAAGCTTGAATTACAAATTTATAAAATTCAATTATTTTTTCAGTAAGATCTTCAGGTAACTTTTGGCTAATTTTAGTATGACAGTGAAGAGAAAGTTGGTGTCATTTTAAAAACTGGTAAAACCAAAATTTGGATGCATGAAATTGTTGTGAAGCATCCAGATATTTATCTGCACAGGTAGTTGATAAAATTGTATACATTTGCATTTTAATAGAACCTGATGTTACTGCAATTCCTATTTGTCGAAGTTCATTTATCCATTTAATAAGCTCTTCTTCAGCAGCTGGGTAAAATAAAGTTCTTCTCGCACCAACATGTCGATTACCAGATACAACATTATTAAATTTTTTTTCATTATTCTTCCATCATGATACCATAGACTGATCAATACCAAAGCAACATGAAGCAGCCAAAACACCAATCTGTTTTGCTTTTTGAATAACGGTAAGTTTTTCTGATACCTTATAAGAAGTTCTTTGAACATGACTTCTAACTTTAACTGTCTTGTTATTGCCAATAACAGTATTCATTTTTTTTTTTTGTTTTTGTTTTAGTCTTACAGGGTTTTTTTTGGTTTCTTTTTTTTTTTAGTATGTGAAAAAACTAAACTACCGGTATTCAACGCGAAAAAGATACAGTGCACAGCATAAGTAACTGACCCCTTCTGGATCGTCATACAGGTAGCACAAAATTTTAATTTTTTTTTATTAAAAAAAACAAATTTAGTACTGGTTACTAATACATTGTAAAGTCCCCATTGGACTCAATTAATGCCTCTATGCACTTTTTTACACTAGCAGCTAATTTTACTGCAAGACTACTTGGTAATTGATTCCATTCATTGTTTATTTCCGCTTTCAAAGTACTAAGATTACTAATTTTTTTTTTTGCAAGGTTAATTTTCATGATTGCCCACACATTCTCAGTAGGGTTTTGATCAGGTGAAACAGACAGCCAGGGAAGTATCTTTATATCATTTTCCTTTTTCCATTTTTTTACTAACTTGGATCAGTGCTTAGAATCGTTATCCTTTTGCAAAACCCACTTTATGTGACCTTGACCAAAAAGCTTACTAGAGGATGGCAGAAGACCTTTTTCATAAATAGTAATCATAAATTTAGCATTTATATTTTTTTGAAAAAGGATTAGCTTGCCAAAACCTGAAGAAGAAAAACAACTCCAAACGTGGACCTTCAATGGATGCTTAACAATATTAAAAAATTTTTTTTTACTCAGAAAGGTCCACACCTTTCTTCTTCACTGATTCAGATGGAAAGTACACTCATCAGAAAAAATCACATGACTAAAGTCATAGTTCTTATGCTGGTTTACCCATATCAGATGATTTTCTCTGTGCCTTTTGGTAAGAAGAGGCTTGGAAAGTGGATTCATATACTGGGCACCCCCTTCATGCAAATGATGCCGGATTGTATTCTTGCTTACTTTGACATTACATTTTTCCATTTCCAACTTTATTTCAGTGGCTGTTATATCAAAATTTTTTTTGGCCATATTCCTTATTTTTTCATCCTGTCTTTTGCTTGTAATGTGCTTACGACCTGATTTTGGTTTGTTATTGAGGTCCTTTGTTTCATTCCACTTTTTGAGCACATTAATTACAGTGCTCTTACTGCAGCGGACATACTTTGCAATGGCTTCATATCCAAACCTGGGACCTAGTAGGTGAGTGTATAAAAACACGATCTCATATCACTTATCGATAGAAAGTAATTATAGAATATCAATTAATCTCAAAAAGGTAAAGATTATCAGTATTAGTAATGTTCTGCAAATGCCGAAATTTATAGATCATGTCATGTGATATTTGGCAAGATACGAGATGTCAGTTACTTATACTGCGCACTGTATATACAAAAAAAAAATCTTGATTTAGAAAAATACAGTGTGTATAAAATGTGGTACAACACTAATGCATTTTTTTTTTTTTAAAAAAAAAAAAGGATACCATAATGTACGTATGTACATCATTTGCATTCAAGATAAGTCTATATAATAAAACCGAATAATAGAATTCAGACATTCAATTATAAAATAAATTTGTGTTTTATTTCACAACTTACAGAGTATATTATAGTCTTTTTTTTTTATAATGGATTGACGAATTTTAAATTTTTTAAAAATTCATTCCCAATATATAATTTATTATATGAAACTTGTAAAACTGGTAAATTTGAATTGTGTTCATTCTTTAAAACTCTAATTTTATATTGATAACAAAGACCAACATTATTTGTTTTTTATTCCACTAGCATAACCTATGTTTATGGATTTTTAAAAGAAAAATTATGATCAACTGTACTGTAATGCAAGTTGGTTATTAATATATAAGATAATAGACCAATAAAAATCGAGTATTTTAAAGTCCCGAATTTAAGCAACCCTCTGAAAAATTTAGCTAAAATGGGTGGCTTAGGAGGTTGCTTATATTTGGGACTTTATGGTAATTCTTTAACCCTAACAGAAGAAAACACAAACAATACTAATAACAATATGAATATCAATAGCAATTTATTCAATAGCCAAAATCAACAACAGCAACAGCAACAACAAAACAATTAACATCAACAACAAAAACAACTTAAACAAATGCAGTTAGAAGCACAACAACAACAAAAACAACCTTTAAATAAACAACAACTCAATACCTCTAATAAACAAAATAACATTAAAGCTAATCCAACATTTAACTGGCTTACTAACTTTCCTATTTCTGAATAATGAAATTCAAAACCTAACTTGAAACAGATTTCTTTAGAAAAATATTTAATTTCTTCAACTACATTTATATGACTTTTATTCTAACAAAGAAATCAAACCCAAAACTGATAATTACAAAGCACTTAAATTTAGTTTTTATTATATTATTTATATAATAGCTAGAAATAGACCTGAATTTCTTGTTAAATTTATAATCTTAAACTAACAAAGCAATTACTATTCTTTTCAATATACTTGAAGACACTCTCAAAAAACTAATTCTAACTTTTATTACAGTTCTTTTTACAAAACTCAACTACTCAAAATTTTTTGTCTTATCTGCAACTATTTCATCTTACACAAATCAAAACAGATTACAACTTTGTATTAATCTTGCATATATTTATTTATATCTCTTTAATAATTATTAGACAATTAATTATGTCAAATTTGTTAAAAACTTCAAACTTTGATCTAAAAGATTTACAATCAAATTAGAAATAACTGATATTGATCAAAATAAACAATATCTTACAATCAAATCAGATAGCAAATTTAATATTTACTTTAAATTAATATTTCTAAAACACTATTCTTTAAAAATTAAATATTTTATCTCTCAAAATCTTACTAAACCATTTTAAACAATGGTTTAAACAATTTTTCTCTCTATATAATCAACAATTTACTAAGTCTTTTGATAAAACTAAAGTTTTTAATTCCCTTAAATTTCAATTTTGGCAACAATTTATCTTATATCTCAAAAAAACTATACTTACTAATTTACAATTTGAAAAATCTAACAACCTACAAGAACATTGTAACAACATAATTAAACAAGTTAATTATTATATACTTACTTGTACAAATACAACTTGTTCTTATTTAGAAAAAAATTAAATCCAAAAACAAAGAAAATCAAACAGAAACCCAACTCCTCCCAAAAAGCCCTAACATCAGCATAATTCCTTAAAACTTTTAAATATCATTTTTCAAAAATTCTTTATTAATTTTTCTAAACAGAAAAATGAAATTTGAAAACAACCTGATATTAGTTTCTTCATATTTCAAAAAATAGTAAATATGAAGCAACCTTTAACAAAGAGATTCCAACCTTTTTTCTTGACCAACTTGCAACTAAAGCTGAAAATTCTGCTTACAAAATTAATAATGTTCAAACTAATCCTAAATGTCACAATTATTATTTTTATTTATATCTAATCTTTATTAAAATACTGCAGCACAAAACTATAATATTGACAAACTCAACAAACAACAAGCAATAAATTTTCTTATCTCTAAGCCTATTAGTACTGACTTACTTGCAAGAGTTTTAATATTTTATAACTCTCAAGATAAGTCTCTTACTTATCCTTAAACCAACAAATTTTTTAAAGAAACAGCTTATTCAGAAACAGATAAACTGTTATAAGACAAATTCAAAATGACATATGCAACTCCATCTTTAATTGAAGAGACTCTCTTTTTTAAAAAAACTTCTTTTCAGTAAACTTGTCTTTTACAAAACTTATAGAAGCAGCCACTATCTTATCAAAAAAAACATCCATAGTAGCTGATAAGAAAAATATAAGTGGGCAGGTGGTAAAGCCCATTTATATGAAAGGCCAAGTTAATGATAGTCAGATCCAATGTACAGGGCAGACTATAGTACCCTTCACAGCTGTTCAAGCCAAGCTTCAAACAGTGAACAACTCTGTAGAAAACAATTCAATCTTATATTTTTGTTTTTAACACTTCACTTCTTGTAGAACAAATATATATTATAACAAATTTCTATTACTATATAACCTACCTATTATATATTACTATATAACATTTAAAGAATTTCTATTCTATTTTCAAAAACATTTCTTCAAATATAGTTTTAATATATCTATCAATTATAACAAAACTAAGTTATACATATATAATGACTTTCAAATCTTATTCTGTCTGAACATTATCTTATTCAACCTATTTAATATAAACTATACAAGCACTTACTTCTACTAACAACACAAAACAATACTTCATTCAACATCTACCCATCTTCACTTGATCAACTGTTTTTTGCTAACTTATCTTTAGCATTTCTATCTACTAATTTATCATCTATCTTTGCATCTAATTATACAGCTTCTGGTCAGAGACCATCTCTGAATTTACATCTTCTAATCTAATAGCTATAACATCTACACCTACTTATACAAACCATTTTATTGTCAATATGTACATATAATACATAAGGATATAATAACAACTTAAAACAACAAACATAAAAAAATTACTGTCTATCTTATAATATTAATACTGCTAGCATTACAGAAACTAGAATCTCACAAAATAATGCATATACTAAATTTTCTAGATCTTAACACTTTACTTATTATTGGTTATGTACTGATAATTGTAAAGCCAAAACAGCAATTATGCTCCAAAAACATCTTAAACCACATTTTTATAAAACACTTAACTTTCCTGGATATGCTATTGCAATAGACCTCTTCTTCAAACATAACTTTAAATTTTACATTATATCAGTTACCTACCTTATGACAATCTTTAACTTAGACTTCTTATTTAAAACAATATTATAAAATAAATTTAAGAAGTAAATACAAACAATATACAACCAATTGTCATAAGTGACTTCAATGTTTCTGACAACTTATAATCATCTTTTATTAAACTTAAACTTATCTATTTCTTTCAACACAATAACATGTATAATTTAGCAAAACATACACAATTCTTAACCCTTATATAGCATAGTAACAGATATAGCAGTTATATTGACTATATATGGGCTAACTATTCTATTATCTGATATCTAACCTTCTACTATACAGATGATGCTAACTAATATACACTTAGTGATTATAATATACTGATATCATTCTAGAAATTTTCTTATACCATTACTGAAAAATAATAATTAGCAACCAAAACTAAGTGTAAAATATTTGCCTATAAACAAATAAACAAAACCTTTGACAAAACTTTACTAACCAAGTTACATCTAATTTTCAAAATAACAATGTCTCCTTTACAACTAATACTACAGAATCACTTAAAGCCACTTGGCACAAAATTTAAACTAGTATTATTTCAGCTACTCTTCAATATATTCCAAACAAAAAATTTACTGTCTATAACTTTCAATACATCTTTTTCTCCAATGCATCCAAATTACACTTAGGATTCAAAAAACTAAACAACATCATAAGACAAGTTAAAGCAGCATCTCATAATCATACCACTGTGTTTATATTTTATAATCAAATATTGATTAACTTAACTCTCTTCATCATCTCAATATACTCTTACTGTCCCAAGATCTTAACCTTATACCTGACTGAATAACTGTAGCCAACGCAGAGTAAAAAACATTTTATCATGCATGCAACTTAGAAAATGTTAAAAACATAAGAGAACAAATTAATGATAACATAGCCAAAAGATGCACTAAACTCCAAAATAGTCCAACATTAATAATCAACAGTATACTTAATCGACACAAAGATCCTGTTAAATTTGACAATATTAAAGAATCAAACAACATTATTACTAAACCATCACTTATTAAACAACATATCCAACAACACTTTAATGATTGGACAGCTCTCAGAAACATCCAACCACAATTATTTAATACAATGTAGCAACAAGAATACCAATCTAAACTGAACATTAATCCTACATGGTATTAACCAACACTTAAGAAATTCTCTTCTATAGAAATTCTTAAAACTATCAACCAACTTCCTAATAACAAAGTATGTAAACTATTAGACATCAGCTATAAGATGATTAAACATGCTGGAACAATATTTCTTAATACAATCACAGTTCTTCTTAATTACTGTCTTACATCTAGTCAAATTCTAAACTAATGAAAAAAAGAAAGAATCTTTCTTATCTCTAA